ATTGTAACAATTGTTAAGTGGAACTGTATTTGCTCTTTGGGCCAATGGCCTTTTGCTTTGTAATAAAATAATAAAAAGATGTACCTGTAAACCAATTTTGACAGGAAACAGAGGCATGGTTTATAATCTAATTTTTTTTAAATCACTTTTGACCAAAAAAGCACATTTTTGTGCATATTTTAAACTACAGTGTCCATACAATAAATACTTACAAAATGTTATAATTCATACAATAAGCTTCCGAAAATATAGTTTTGTGGACAAGGGAGGTCCTCTTGGTTGTCTAATTAAAATACCTGTCAGGTAAACTGCATCTGTACCTTAAGTTTCCACTCAGGTACACATCACAGGTACGCATATTACAAAAATATAAACATCCACACATGAGGGTCAAACTCACAACCATGTAAAGCGCCTTGCCACTAAATTGACAATACTATCACGGGGAAAATCTCTCTCTCTCAGGGTTCTCCACACTGTCGGGGGGAATCTCGTCTCGTCTCTCTATCTCGTCCCCTTGAGGTACGGGATCGGGAAAGTCACTTTAACTTTACAGTCAAATAAGACACACACAACGAAATACGTTTCAGCTCTCGTCTTAGTCGATCTTTTGGAGCACTCTATAAGACACAGCGCCCTGGGGAAAAGTCCCCAAGACTCGCCCAAGACTGGACTGCCTCAAGGCTCGCCCCTGGACTCTCTCGGACTGCCCTCGACTCTCTAGGACTGCCCTCGACTGCGTCTACCGTGGAGTATTCGCCAAGACCAACTCAAACTCTCTTTATTCATTTTCAAAACTCTGACCAATTACAATGCAGTAAAAAGACTCTAGGGCGTAACCTTCAATCATAAAGCCAATCACACTAAGTACTGAATACGTCATATCTTTTGATTAATCGTTCACTACATTAATAACTACGGATGTCAGAATAGCGACGGTATCTTGTAATTAGTTCCAAACCACTGAGCCAAGTTCCGTCCAAAACTTCAAATAGACCTAAACGATGACAGACATAACACAGCAATTCAGCTAATAATCAGTCAATTAAGTCGGTTAACAGATACGCAAAAACAAATTCATGACAATACATTTACAAACGTATCAATGACGAAAATGTTCCTTTTTAACATCTCATACCCAAGTGCGCTATGTAATATTTTCTGACTTCTCAATCGGTAAAGAAGCATTTTTCCCAGGTACTTTGAAATCAGCATGCAAAGCATGCTTGCTCCAATTATTTTATGTAACGTTCTTTTTCCACATTTTCTTATGACACTGTTATTCAGAGCCTTTATAAAACACCAGGATATATTGTACATGCAAGTTATAGGACTTGCCCTATATGTTCACAGATATTGAATTTTTTTTACCATCATTCATTGCATGCTCCGGAAGACAAGTCCAACATATAATATGACACAGTGTCTACTTCCTTGCGCATTTATAACCGTTTCTCAAGTTTTGATGCATGGCAGCCACTTTTAAAACAATTTTACTTTTACAAAAACATATATACCTCTGATATGCATGCATATCGAAAAAGAATTTGACTAGGTCTGGGGAAAAGCAATGACATGACATGTCTTAATTTTTAACATGTTTAGCATGCCTTCTATATTTTGTTATACATGTCATTGCGATTTTTTTATATTCTCGCTATTTCTGTTTGTTGTCAAAAGGTTGTCAGGAAATTGGAAGGAGAGCACTAAAAAATGAACTATCTGCATTCTCACTGAATAAGTAAAAAGACCCTCATTTGCTCAGTGGAATTTAACATTGTCACAAAAAATGTAATATATGTATATAATGGGTAAGACTATTGTTTGTTTCAGCTATCAAAATGGCTCAAACAATAAAAGAGGAGGTAATAAAGATATTTGGTCATTATATAAATGTCATAGATAAAGTATTGGTTCTCAATGCACATGATTATGATAGTTCTAGTATGGATGCTTTGCGACTACTTCTGAAAAATAGGAAAGAACAAGTGATTGAGGTAAGTATATTACACATATTTCCGTGTATACATTCAAATATGTGTATGTACCGGGGTAGTACTGTAGAGGGGTTAATTATTAACTGGGTTTTAATTTTGCTTATTTCGCTGACTGGAAAATGCGTCAAATTAAAACTCAGTGAAAATGTAATATTTAGCATAGAACACATTATCTAACTGATAAAGCCATGACTTTAAACCCCTCTAAAAAAACCTGAAATGGTAAATCAGCGAAATTTAAACCCAGTGAAAATTAGTCATTTCACAGTATTAGAATTGCACGATTTTTGTTTTCGTGATAAGATAAGAATATCAAGTAATAATCTCAGTTAACTAGCCTACATGTTTGAAGTGTATATTGTAGTACTGTATTTTACTTTATTTTAGCTGGAATTAATTTTCGCCGAAAAGACTTTTTGGGTGTTTTGTATGGAATTTATTTTTACCGAGTTGAATGTAAAATATAGGGAAAAATGGTATATTCACTGGATTTTATTTTCACTAAATCATTACTTTAGGGAAAACAGCAAAAATTACATGTATGATACAAATATGGGATTACATTCATTAATGTTCCTTGAATTGATTGTCTTACATATGAATTAAAGTTATGCATTAAATTAGTGAGTTAAGTTATTGTTGTCTGTCTCTGTAGATATCAGAACCAATGCCAGCAATATGTGCAAAAATACTTCATATGAAGGAAAAGTGGATTGAGGAACGTAAATTATTTCCTGTTATGTATTGGACAGATTTTGTCATCAATGTTAAACAAGACATCAATTCATCAATAGAAGAAGATTTCCTGAGGAAAGCAACTGAGTATCTTTATGATTATGGAGAGGTATCTATGTTATTAACGAAAGGTTTAAATAGTTTCTGGAAGGCATATACTCAACCTATTAATAAATAGTATTCCTAATCCGTAAAATGTCACACATAAACATACATATTGAATACATTACAAAGACATGTGTATCTTTATTTTTAAACATTTATTAGCTGATACTTATGTTGTTTACGAGAATCTTCATAAATCCGTGGCATATGGTGGCCATTCGTTTATTCTATTGTATAATGCATATATGAACTTGAGATTAGGGCAAAGTGTTGGATTCAGAATGTTAAAAACGATGCACAGGTTTTCAAAATCACTAATATTTTGCGATTTTATTTATTATAACAAATCAAACATTTATACTTTTGAAGATCAAATAAACGAATTACTACCAAATGCATCTCAGGGGCATTACTTTCAAACGCGTAAATTTTTGTTTCGTTGCAATAAATAAAACAGCAAAACCTTCATTTTAAACATTTTGAATTTCAAGTTCATTGACGCATTGTACAATACAATAGAATAAACGAATGGCCACCATATGCCAAGAATTTTTATACCAACAGTAGTCCTGTCAACAGGAAATGCATGTTATGCAAATTAATACTTGTCTGTTTTGTTAAGGTATAGATGCTGGTTCGTGGGCACTAGGGGTTGATTTTTTTTTTGATTTTTCTAACCCAGACAGTCTTGGCTAGTTAGTGTTAAAATTTCGGCGCATTGTCAATGCTGGAACATACTCAAAAATCGATTTTAAAATATAGGGAACCGAGGCACGCGTATGTGATTAAAAGTACCGAAATTTTGTCTACGTTGCTCTTTGATTGACAAGTCACTGTTGATGTTATATGAGTTGCTGGCCTCAGTTACAGCGATGTGTTACTCCCTGTCCGCGACCCTGTTTAACTTACCTCAAGCGCTATCAACTAATCTCGCAAACTACAAAAAAAAAACAAAAACGGACAAGACGTAGACGCTTCAAGCATGCAAGCGGAATACAAAGAACATACAGTTGTAAATGATAAGTAAACTTGTTCACGCTTATCTCGCAACTTGTCGACAACTTCTAGCCTGGCATCTTCCAGTGGTGTACTGTTAAGTATTTTTTTTTCACGCATTTTTTTTTCTTTCCGAAGGCATTATAAAACTTCCTAATTATACATTTTTCGTTTCGCTGAACAATCACCGTGCCGATAGCATTGCGATGCAATGGATAAACACCATTGCTGTGCTGTCATCGATAACTAACTTTTAAGTGGCAAAATACACAAACGTTAAATGCTCGGTTAATTAAAAATAAAAAGTACCCCGGAAATTACAGAAACATCGGCAACGAGATGCTGTTTTTAAACACCGCGGAAAAATCACGCACTCTGCGATGCCATCTTGGTTACCTTAATCGGAAACCCCCTTGTCAGCTAGCATGCATCTGTAGCAATGTCGCAAGTACGTTGTACAGCTGTGCTCGGCGACCTCTGGTACTAAGGCACTCTATGAATGAGGTATTTCCAGAGGTCAGGGTTCGTTTTAATTTGTATCAACCCGTTTCGTCTGCTCGTAGTTGAATGAAACCTGTTTCGATTTACAATAGTTGTCTTCCATTTCGACCTTTTCTCACCGGCGTTTGAGTGATTGAGTACAAAAACTGCGATAGCCGTTGTGTAGCAAAATATTACGGCCCATTTCAACCTGGCCGTCTAACTTCGCACAGTCAATTTCACCGGAGGTCGTGAAAAACTGCGTCATACAGAGTATATTTTTAAAGGTTTGAGGAAAGATAAATTTAGACTCAATCCACCCATGGAAGGTAGTAGTACTAGTCCTTTCCATGACCCACCCAATGGCGATCGCTATATTTATATAACTGTATGAATATCTCATCGGCTTTACGTAATCCATTGTGCCCCTCCCTAAGTGGAAATGATAACACGACGCCATGAAAGTTTTCAAGCAATTTTTCAACGCGGACGATTTTACGTCCGTTTCCCTCGTATTGTAAATATTTTTATTTTATTTTTTTATCTGACAATTGAACATTATCAGTGTATGATGCATGTCGTTGTGATGCAATATCCATTTTTGTGGACGATCAACGTCATTTTCATAAAACAGGCATTATCTCCGTTCGTGTTTTCTGGTTGGTTGGAGAGATTGAAAATTAATTACTAGTAGCTCCCACAGTTTTTGTCTTGATATTTTCATACTATTTTGACAACGTCTCTACGAACAAAAAAGACGTCTGGGCTTATTTTTAAAGGTTTGCATTCTCGAACAATGACATTCGAAGTGTGAAATACTGACCGGGATCGAATGTACGGCACGCATCCTGCTTGACAACTTTATAATATGAAAACAAAACATATTACATATACGCTTGGACGTCCTTTTGTTAATAGACAACTGATAAACGTTGTGTGAAAGTTTCACTCAAATAAACAAGAATTGTGCGAGCTATTTAGATTTGAACTTACATGGTAAACTGAAAAACACAAGTGGAGATAATGGCTAATTTGCATGACCATTTACTCAGTAAGAAGTTTGCCAATGCTCATAATTAAAATGGCTGTAACAGTTCCAAATTTAAACCTTAATTATGTTTTTGTAAAAAGTTAAATATAGTGCATAATATGGAGATCCCGTCATTACTTTTTTTACCATGTTTCTTTTTGATTATTTATGTACAGCCTTGCTAAATTTTACTAAGCATTCAAAAGAGAGAATGTTTGTACCTGTTTTCTATATTTTAAACTCGTCTTTTGAGTATTTTCCACTATTCATAATGCTGCGAAATGTTAACAGTCTATAGCCAAGGCTGTTTGGGTAATAAAAAGCAAAAAAACAAGAAAATTCACTCCCAAGTGCCCACGAACCTGCATCTATACCTTAATATCTCCTTCTGTAGTTAGCCTTTGAGAAGATTTATTAATTTAATATTTCATGACACGCTATCTAATATATTTTCATGTCATTATTTTCATTTGATTTTAGATCCTGTTTATCAGAAGTACCAAGTCAAATATGGAAGATGTAATAATACTTGATTCACAGTGGTTTTGTCATAGGATAATCGGACCACTCATGGCAACTGACTTGTTTGTACAGTACACAAAGAAGTTAAAAAAGCAGACTGTATATACTTTTGATGACATCAAAGATGTACTTGTTAAAGAAGCAAACATGGACTTGTTGATAAACTTGCTGTCACAATTTGAAATAATTGTCCCATTAGGGGAAGATGATTATGGTGGTGGTCATGAAGGCAAATACATTATACCGAATTTACTATCAGTAGACATGCCTCAAGATCAGTGGAAGAAGGAACACGAAACAAACTTTTACTTTGGTAGAAGGTTTCAATGCAAATCTTTTGCTGATATGTTTTCTCCAAATTTTTTCCCACAACTGCAAGCTCGTCTCCATGATCTTTATACAAAATTAAAACGGCCACCAAGCGGTATATGGAAAAATGGTATCAAAGTGAGTGATATCGTTGAAGCGCTGGTATTTCTTTCTGCTGATAAGCGTGCTGTTAATATTGCAGTTAGGTGTGAGCGTAGAAATCAGCATGGAGAGTGTTACTCATTAATGAAAAAGGTGACGATTACTATTCGCCAGGTTCTACATGCCACAAGCCCTGGCGCGGACGTGGAATTTCACATCCTTAGTGCTTACTCTTTGCGAAACCACCATGACCTCAATAAAGTTGTATCCTATCCCATCGAACAAATACTTCAGGCAGAAGATATGAAAACTACGATGTATAATGAAAATATTGGTATAGAAGAAGAGGTAAGTGATTTACTGGTTCCAGGATTTGACCTGACAATTCTGAAAGAATATGGTATCCAGTGTGATGTGAAATGGATGAAGCACCAAGCAAGGAGAAAATTGGTAAATCAACTTGAACTCGAAATTCCAAATGGTCGTGACCACAGACTCCTGGCAGAGTACATGGGAATAGATGATTCTGGACGACGTACTATGGCTGCACGTGCATACAGGCTAGATAGAGATGTTACTGATCAACTACTGGACAAGTGGTCTGAAAACTGGACAGCAAGAAAGAGAAATAATCCTACTACAAGGAGCACACATGGCAAGGTGTATTATGAGAGCAGCATTAAGAATCTTCTGGAAATCAACAACATGTACCTAGAAAATGATATCGTAAAAAGTACCATTGAAGATATGATTGAGTATCCGGAAGGAAAACCTTTATAATTTGGAATTGAATCTCAAGTAAAGTCCACATTTGAGAATATTGTATTCGACACAGATACAGCTTTGCTTTAATTTAATTTTAAATGCAAGGTCATGCCAATTTGTAACCATGGAATTGTACATCAGTTCTCCAAACCAAGATGTATCAGAGTCCTGAAACTATTGAACAATTTATAATGCATTTTTTTCGAAAATGGCTAACATGTTTGCTTTGATAGTTTATATGTAAAGTACAAATAAAATACCTAACCTTAGATCCTTAAGGTAGCAGAATAGTTTTTTGGGCACTTTTCACATTTTTTTTTGAAAATCACACGAATAGCTCCCTAAGGCATGCTACATACATTAGTGTTTTTATTTTATTGAAAAAAAAATATCTTGTACAAGTAAACTGATTTTTTTCTTGTGTGCAAACAAATGGCCAAGTTTTTGTTTATCCAGTGTACACCAAACTAGTGCATCTCATTAATATGCATGGTTTAC